TGTGTGTGTGTGTGTGTGTGTGTGTGTGTGTGTGTGTGTGTGTGTGTTTAAAGTAGGCTCCACACCCAGCGTGGAGCCCAATGCAGGGCTTGAACTCATGACCCCAAGATCAAGACCTGAGTCGACATCAAGAGTTGGGACACCTAACCTACTGAGCCATGCAGGCGCCCCTCATGTAGTTTTAATCAAGATCTTTTCAGAATGTCAAGGAAAAATAAAGAGTTTAACATTCCTCTAGTAAATTAATTTGTCATGACAGAGGATTCTGGAAGTTGTAGAAAGGAAGCTAAATGTGTTCATTAAAGACAGTATTTTATCGTTGTATTCTATAGTGCATAATAAGATGTGGGATTATGCTTTTTGTAGTATAGCTGACTGTTTTAAGTATTTGTTTAAGGAGAGCATATGTAACTAAAAGCCTTTTGATTTTTATTCCTCAAATCCTGCAAGTATTTCTTCTTTCCAATCCAATTAAGTACAGCTATTTACCTATTTACTCTCCAGTTTTATCTTCTCAAAACTCCCCACCACAAACTCTGTGCTCTAGCCAAGGTCACTTACTTTGTCCCCAAATAATAAAATAGACATTTCCATTTCTGAGATTTTTCTAAGACCTTTGTTCTTCTCTAGAATAGTCCCTTTCTTTCCCTCTGCATATCCTTCAAGACTTACTTGAGATTCTGTTTCATTTGTGTATTCAGTAAACAGAGTGCCTACTATATGCAGTGCACTGTCTGGAATGCTGGAGTTCAATAAAAACAAGCCTGTCCTTATGTAATTTATGTTCTACCAGGAAAATGATACAAAATGAATTAAAACTAATTATTACAATTGTGATAAATCCTAATAATAATGAGGCACAGGAAAATAGGATAACCTCTAATGGGGAAAATGAACTTGGTCTGGGGTGTTAGAATGGCTTTCTCTCCTACGTTGTGACAACCTCTTGGGAAATTATATGGCAATATATTAAATCACATAGACCCTTTAACCCCAAAATTCATTCTTTTTGCTTATTCGAGTATAATTAACATACAGTGTGATATTCGTTTCAGGTGTACAATATAATGACCCAGCAATTCTATACATTGAAGTGTCAGCAATTCCACTTTTGGGATTTTATCATATAACGGTAAAAGTGCCAGTACTTAAAGTGGCATGTGACTTTGGTTTAAAATCCTACCCAGCCAAGCTGTCCATGAGGTCAATTTCCCAAGCCAGGCTTGTGGACAGAGGAAAGGAAATTAAGGTAATCTAATGTGCCAAAAAGTACTATTGAAGTGGGTGCACTCATCATGAGATGCATGGAATATTCCAGAGAAATCGGCTTTAGGTCCAATTGCATAATACAATGGATCCAGCACATGAGACCTTACTATAAGATCCTGATGGATGTCTCCCAGTAAAAACTTACCCATTAATGTGCTTTGGTGAAATGGTTGTTGAAAACGGGGGCAATGGCTGGGGTGACTACTCCAAGAACATGTGTTTTATTGGCCAGACTGCTTGATATGTGTCATCCTTTGTCTCTGGAAGGCAAAGCGCTGTAAAAGATCCTGTTCCACTGGTAAAGCATCATGGCTTCACTGCATTGTACCTTGAAGTAAAGGTCAGTTGTTGTTGGGTTGAAGACAGAATAGTTCATCTTTACACAGGGCCAGACAAGTGCTGAGTCTCCTGAGACAGTAGCTGGGATTGGTTGTTGAGCCAAGGTCGCAAAAATCGAGCATGGTCACGTAAAGGCTGTGAAAGGACTTGGGGGAGCAGGCATACAGTAGACTGCGTGATATGTAACCTTTGAAAAGGAAGTCTTTTACAGCATGGGTAGTGTAGCCTTGTGCAGTACTTTGCCTCTTTCCATTCTGGACCAGTTGACATTCTCTAGTTAATTTGCCTCCTGTGATGTGCCATTATTGAAGTCAAATTCCTTGTGAAGGTCATGTAACATAATCCACATATGGTTAATTATGGTTCCTCTGACATTCAGGGGAGAATGGCTGAGACAGCTTGTCTGATTAAGTAGCAGCACCCTGGTGAGCAAGGTGTGCACTGAAGAGTTATATTGCTGTGTGGAATGGAGTAACTCTCAAACGAGTGATATAGGCGGCCATTAGGCATGGACACAAATGTTACATTCTTAGCTAGGCAGAGGCACCCATCAGTCCTTATACTGTAATAACACCACTAGTAATTGCACCTTTGTGGGTTATTGGGAATGATATTGGCAGATACACATCTGGATCTGTGTGCTGGTCGCTTGCTTTCCTGGCTTCTTCAAAGCCAAATGACAGTACAGAATCCCTAACACCTCTCTATGGCGGCTGCCATGGGGACAGAGGCAGAAGCTTCCGTGGTGATGTCACAGATAACATCCTCATGTGGTAAGTCTTCATGGCAGGAAACAGATATAAGCTGGATATATCGAGGGGTGCCTCTTAAACAGCATTATAAGTGTGATATTTCCAGGCCAGAGCTACCAACCTGAGACATAGTCATCAGGAGGAGCTGTAGGAGTAATAGCTCAGCCATAGCGCGGCTCAGTAATTGTAGGCAGTGGAGGCATGAGCCCACATGGGTGATGGCTGAACCAATGGCAGGAGTTCCTTGGGACATACTAGAAGGAATGTCACATCAGACTGGAGTTTATTGATCTTCATGTTACTTACCTTGAATGCTGCACTGGTGACTATTCGCAACCATTCTACAGCAGCTCTAACAACAGAGATGTCTGATGTCAACTCGTCTGTGATGTAAGGTCAATGGATAGGTCTTCTTCTGTGTCACAATCACTCTGCATTTTTTCCTCTTTGCAGCTCACTCTTTAGATGAGCCTCCTTGGTCGAAAGCTCCTCTGATCCTCTTGGTCGGAGAGAGCTGAGTTTACACCTGAGCTACGATGTCATGTATCTTGGAAGTGACTCCTCAGATAGGGCTGGGGTCTTCATTGCAATCAGCTGCTCCAGGCTGTATCCTGAACATAGCTCTGTTGACCTTAAAAGCATGGAGTAGGAGCATTCAGAGGAGCTCTGCTACCACTGCTGTTTTCAGAATCCAACATTGGTTCCAAGGTGTAGTTTTCAGTGGTGGAAAAACTGGATACCACATGACTGTCCGTGAATAAGCAATAGGGGATAGAATATTAATTTCTGGTATTTCCAGACTCTGGAATATTATACAGCTGATAAATAGAAAAAAATTAGACCTATATGATTTATCTTACAGACTATTGGTTATAAAAGCAAGTTTTAAATAAATTTGTTTAGAATGAGCCCAGACTCCTAAAAATCCACAATGGTGCTTGCTAACTGTTAACATTGGTTACCTCTAATTTATGGGCAAAATAATGGGGACCTCTTTTGGAGGATGCCATATCTCCAAGGAATGGATTATTAGCTTTTATTTTGTATATCTTTGGATTTTCTCATTTGTTACAAAATTAGCCGTCATGAAAATTAATGAAAGGGGCACCTGGGTGGCTCACTTGGTCAAGCGTCCGACTGTGGCTCAGATCATGATCTCACGTTGTGACTTCAAGCCCCGTGTTGTGTCTGTGCTGACAGCTGAGAGCCTGGAGCCTGCTTCAGATTCTGTGTCTCCTTCTCTCTCTGCCCCTCCCAGCTGGTGCTCTCTCTCTCTCTAAAGTAAATACACATTAAAAAAATTTTTTTTTTAAATAATGAAAAAAATTTAATTTTAGTAGGAGAGCCACTAAATTTTTCTTAACCTACCTAACTGCATCTAATACAATAAACATTCTATAAATATTTGTGGAAGGAGACAGGAGGGGAGGAGGAACAGGTTTAAATGTTTGGTAGAGATTAAAAAAAAAAAAAAAAAAAGGTAGCCAGGAAACCAGTAATGGCATGGTAAAGCATTGCAGAACCTCTAAATGAATAGTGGGAGGGAGGAAAAAGAAGAAATTTGATCAGGCTGGCAAAATAAAATGGGAAAAAGTGAGAAAAAAAAGCAAAGTAAAATAAATAAGATACACTACTGAAGTGATGTCATATTGCAGCTACTCTAATAAGTGTAAATGAGTTGAATTTACCTATCAAGTGAAAAAAATCTTTCATATTGGGTGTAAAAATTTGGTTAGGTGTTATGTACATGAAACAAAATGAACCTATAAAAAAAGGATTCTATTCACAATCTGCAAATACCATTAAAATATTTCAGAATACACCTAGCAAGACAAGAGCAAGATGTGGATGAAAAAAGCTATAAAATTTCAGTGGAAGTATTAGTTTTCTATTGCTTCAGTAATAAATAACCACAGGCTCAGTGGCTTAGATCAAACCAAGTTTATTATCTTACAGTTCTGGAGGTGAGAAGTCTCACCGGGCAAAAGTCAAGATGTCAGCAGGGCTATGTTCCTTTTGGAGACCAGGGGAAAATCTCCAACACCCTGCTCATTCAGGTGTTGGCAGAATTCAATTCCATGAGGTTGTGGGACTGAGACCTCTGTTACCTTGGTGACAGTCAGCTAGGAGCCGACCTTAGCTCCTAGAGGCTTCTCAGGACCTTGCAGATAGCCCTCAACATTTCAGATGCAGCAAAAGGGTGTGGCATCCTCAGGCTTTGAATCTTTCCTGTGATTGGATTGGGCTGACTTCGCCCAGCCCTGTATGTAATTCAGGATAATGTCATCACCAGGTCCTTAGTTGTAATCACATCTGCAAAAATCCTTTTGTAAGGTAACCAATTCACAAGTTCTGGGAAACAGGGTGTGGACATCTTTGGGGGCTATTCATCTGCCTACCACAATGAAGGACCTAAAAATTTTTAAACAAATGTATTAAAGTGTCACATTCTTGGATGGCAAGATGTGCTATTGTCAAGAGATGTCATTTCTGCCTGCATTAGCCTACAAAGTCTCTGCAAGATGCTTTACTGATAACCAAAACTGGATTTTGAATCAAGTGAGGGGATAGATGATCAGAAAAGACTATATTGCTTAGAAAAATAAAGAAACACTGACATTCTTTGCAGACTTTAACTCAGGTAGACTACACATATTCTAGATACAAACATACCAATATTATGCTCAAGGGCAAGGTAATGCTTTCCATGGCGTTTCCAATATTCTTACTGTTAACATCTAGGATTTTTCTGGTCCCCTTATTTTGGGCACACATTTGACTGATATTTTGAATCATTTACAGAGACTCCTACACCCCTGTCCTTTTCAATAACCAAAAGCTTAAGATGCCATCATCTTATATGTAAGTTTCACATTATTTCCCCGAACACATCCTTTTTACACTTGTCAAATCTGAAACTCCTTTAATTTTTCCATCCACTCACACAGCTTCATGACAACTTTCAGCAAAAGTTCCTGGCAGATGGGCACTGTGTCTTCTCAGTTTACTTGTGATGCCATTTAGAAAAATGTTTGTAAACATTTCCCTAAGAATGATTTCCATCGTGATGCTGCCTTGGAGATGTTTATGATACTGTGGACAGTGCCAAGGCAGATCGCGTGGGTGGGTGCAGATTCTGTAATAAAGTTTTTATTCCCTCCATTTATTTGCCTGTTTGGGAATGTGGGGTGAAGATGAACAAGGGAAAAGTGAATTTGTATCCCCCTCCAAAGAAAGTAACTTTTGTAAAACTGCCACTCTTTTGACTTGCAAAGAAGCTCACAGAATGGCTCTATTTTTACAGATGTGATTAGTTTATTCAATGAAAAGTTATTTTAAGGCAATTGTCATGCTTTATTAACAGTAAGTATGTTTGGATGTATCCTATTTACAAATCCTGGAAATAAATGTCACAGTTGTTTAATCCCCAACACCAAGCCTCTGAACTGACTTCTCGGACGTCATTCTGACTTCTCAGATTTTAGGTCAACTGTGGGTGTCTCCCATTGTCTGTCTCCATCTTTCTTAAACTCTAGTAAAACGTGGGCGCGAGCAACCTTTTCTAAGTTAATACTGCATTGACAGAGATGACCCGACGTCCGCTGAAGGGCGCTGTCCCGAAGCCTGGCGGAACCCCACGCGGTCGCCCTCTCCAGCCTCTGGACACAGGTCAGGAAGGAGTCGCGAAGGCTCCAGGAAGGTTCAGCCCGAGTCTACAACTTCCCAGGGGGTGGAGGCAATGACACTGACCCTGCCTGCACCGGCCCGGCATGAGGCCCGAGCCAGTTGCCCCGCCGCGAGAAAATCTCTCACCTTACTGCTTTCAATGAAGAGAACATAGGCCTCCTCACCACGCAGCATAGGCTCCCGAGTACCCGGATGCAGCAGTTCCGCCTCCCGGGCCACGGTAACGCATGCGCGTCTAAGACTTTGCGCTAGTGGGCGGGGCGCGGGAAGAGAGGAGGAAGGGCGGCGGTTGGGCCAGAGGGGAGCCACACCCACCGCGCCAACGTCTTTGAGCATGCTCAGCGCGTAGGCTTCTGGTACTTCTGTTGCGTCTGCCGACACCCACCTCAGTTCGCGTCCGGAGGTCGGAGGTGGAGGTCTTCGGTCCGGCTTTCGAGCGTGCTTTGCAAAAACCGCTTTTCGTGTTCAGCTTCGAAAGGAAGGCTTCCGCTGGTCCTTTCTTTTCGTCTTCGGTGAGGCGTCGACTTCCTGTGGTGGTAGGTTTCCTGTTGGCGGGGGTCGGTCTCAGATGCCTGGGGTGCGGGGGCGCAGAGTGGGGGCCGCTGGTGGGGCGGGCAAGCCAGACCTGGAATCGGAGTTTTTTGCTTTGCGGCCCGGCCGCCCGCGCGACTCACTTCCGTCCCCCTCCTCTCCCCCCCCAGTTTCCAGGAGCCGAGTTTCCGGGCGGGGAAACTTGTAGTCTTGGGTCGTCACGTCCCACTACGTGAACGCCATGTGGCCCGGCTCGCAGCAGGACGAGTCCCCCTCGACGTCCCGGTCGGGGCAGTCCAGCCGCCTGTCTTCGGCGTCCAGGAGCCGATCTTCTTCCCGAAGCTCTCAGTCCCGCTCCAGCGTCTCGAGCCGGGCGTCGTCGCGGAGTCGGCCCCGGCCCCGGCGGAGGAGCAGGTCCCGGTCCCGGAGGCGCCACCAGAGGAAGTACAGGCGCTACTCGCGCTCCTACTCGCGCAGCCGGTCGCGCTCTCGCGGCCGCCGCTACCGGGACAGGCGCTACGGAGCGCCCGGGAGGTCCCGCCGCTCGCCGTCGCGGCCCCGCTCCCGCAGCCGGTCCCGCTCGCGGGGACGCTCGTATTACCGACGGGCCTACGCGCTGGCGCCGGGGCGGCGCTACTATGGCTTCGGCCGCACCTTGTACCCGGAGGATCGCCGCAGTCGGAGGGGCTGGTCCAGGTCCAGGTCCAGGTCCAGGTCGCGGAGCCCCACCCCTTTTCGCCTGAGCGAGAAGGGTGAGTCATCTGCCGGGAACTTGGCCTTCGCACGCGTCTACGTGGCTGGCGACCGCTCGCGCCTGGAGCCGCGGTGGCTGTGTACTTTGGATACTTTTATTGCTTTCGGTGGCTGTAATCCTAGTTGCTTTGGGAGGAAAGAGTGAGGTTAGCAGGTTAGTGGTTAAAACCGCTCTATTTGGCACCCAGTTTGATTTTATTTTCAATTTTTAATGTTTATTTTTGAGAGGGACCGAGCGTGAGCGGTGGAGGGGTCGAGAGAGACAGACAGACACACAGAATCCGAAGCAGGCTCCAGGCTCCGAGCTGTCAGCACAGAGCCCGCCGCGGGGCTCGAACTCAGGATCCAGCGAGATCCTGATCTGGACCTGGGCCACCTAGCCCGCCCCAGGCTCCCGGTTTTGAAGTGAACGCTCTTTGCTCCTTGAGATTAGAAGTCAGCTGTGGTGTCCAGTGGGGCGGGGTGGAGGAAATCCTTTTTCCTAGGGGCTGGCCCTTAGTGAGGCCTTTTAAATGTTAAGGGTGACTCAGTAGTTTATCCGTTTTAAGCTTTTGTTACCTACTGAGCCGGAAGAAGAGTTCAAAACTTTTTTTTTTTTTTTAAACAAAACCGGATTTTGTCCCAGTATTTTAAAACAAATGATTTGTTTTGCTGTTAGATAGGATCACAGAAAAAGACACAGAAACAAAAACTTATAGATAGGAGTCTGAAAATGGATTTAAGCAATGTATCTGTATTGACTCATTAGCTGTCACAATTGTGGTATCTGTAAAATGTACAAAGGAACTTGTTCAGGATACACAGTTGAAGAGAAAGCAAAAACAACCATGAAATAAAGGCCTTTAGTAGTTGTTGAGATTATTTAGGGCTTTTTTGCTTTTCTCAGCAAAAAATGAGGTAGAGAATTTTGTTTTAGTGCTCAGAGCTGTGTTTTATGCTCTAAAAGATTAAAACCTCTTTCTATTCATCTAAATAAAACACAACTTTATTTTGCAATTCGGAGTTCTTCAGGGAAATGTACTACAGATTAATGAATGTCTTGTTTTGTTTTTGTAGATCGAATGGAGCTGTTAGAAATAGCAAAAGCCAATGCAGCAAAAGCTTTAGGAACAGTCAACTTTGACTTACCGGCCAGTCTCAGAACTGTCCTTTCACCTAAAGAAACAAACCGCAGAACAGCCGTACCAAACAATGGTGCAAAGTCTGAGGTAAGTATTCTAGGCTTAGCCAAATAAGATCTTCAGAAAGCTGCTGCTAGAAAGATCTCATGAGCCATTTTTACTTTTTACTTTACAAAGCCTAAATACAATTTGTTAGCATAATAGCAGCTCTAGAGAGGGTTTCTCCCCCATGAAAATGGGAGATTAGTGAACTTTATTTTCATGTGACACAGCAGTAATTACTTTCATAGTTGTAGGCGGTATTTTTGGCAGTTTTTATGCAGCTATCAAATTTTTTTATCCAGCTTTTGCAGAGTATTTTATCTGTAGCTTTCTTTCATTTGCAGCGCTGTGTTCCCGCAAATTCTATATTCAACATACAGTATAGTTTATCTGCTTTATTTCTGTCTTATAGAAATCATGAATGTGGTCTCCAGACATTGATGAAGAAAATCTGTTGGTAATTGATACATGGGCAAAAGCATCAGAGGTTTAACTAATTTGAAGTTTATGTTCACAGACTGAAAGTTTAGTTTTTTGTTGGTAGATCCATTATGCATGCTAGAATTTGGGACAGGTAGCTGTTTTGATAAGATACCGAAGACAATTTTTTAAAAGTAAACACTTTGTCATGGTGGGGCATCTGTCCCTTTCATAATATATGCAATATATTCCAGATGTTTTGAGAGATTACAGAAGAAGAGGCCTGCTTCACTTGCAGATAAGTTTATTATAATTCTCCAGAAATGTGCAGGATGTGCATTGGCAAATTGCACTGTGGTCTTAAGTTAATGATATGAGATCCAAAGTAGGAAACTCATAGCCTTTGAGGTTTAAGGTAGTTAGGAGTTTGATAGAATCATTTAACACAGGAAAGATGTTCTCTAGGTGAACCTATCATTCAGACCCAGATGTGGGTTTGCTTAAGTGTTTAGTAGTGAACAAGATCTTAGGTGAGTTGCTTTTTCAAATGATTAGGTAACCAATGGCAAATGCCTTAGTTCTTTGAAACTAGGTATTTTCTGGTATGACTTTACTTGCAGAGTTAACTTGAATTTGCACTAGGGGAAATATAATCCTGCTTTATGGGAAAGAGTATCTTAAGCTGATTATTAATTGATTTTGTTATGGGGAAAGCTGGAGTACTATGTCGTTTCTACTGTTAACTGTATGATTAGATCCAGCTCCATTTGTGTCTCTATAACTAAATTTATATACAGTTGGGCTGCATTTTATGTGGTATCATAAACCAAGGGTATGGTTTTTTAAAAATAACACTTTCTCTTACATGTCAAGCTGTCGGAAAAGCTAACAGAAGATGGAACTAAATATCTCAATGAAAAGTATTGCCAGCAAAAGAGCATAGCTTTTAGCTCTAATGTAAGTATATCTAAGCATTGACTCCTCAAAAATTGGATTTAGAATATAATTATATGGGCTTTTATTTTTGTTGGAAGGCTCATTGTTTTTGTGCACATGGTAATAATTTGGGATCTACTAAGCCACTTTTGATAGAACTTTTCATAATTTTTTGTACCATTACAAATGGCTAATATAATGGCTGCTTCTGTATCTGATATTCACATTTTTTTTGAGAGCGTGTGCGCTTATGTGCAGGCAGGGAGGGGCAGAGAGGGAGAGAGAGAATCCCAAGCAGACCCTTTGCATTGTCAATGCAGAGCCCAATGCAGGGCTCAGTCCCACACACTGAGATCACGACCTGAGCTGAAATTAAGAGTTGGATGCTTAACCAACTGAGCCACCCAGGTGCCTCAGTATTTCACGTTTTTGATATCAGTATTTACTTTTCAAATACTCCTCTTACACTTGTTGAACAATTTAAAAAGTAAATCTCAGAAAACCCTGTAATCAGAATATTTTAAAAATCAGCTAAGAGCTTAAAAATACTAAGAACTATTTTAACATTATTTTGTAATATACTTTGTATCGACGTCTGATTTTCCCCAGTAGTTTTCTTGGCTTTACAGTTTGAATTGAGTGATGAATATGGGGTCTTTGCTTTGCGTTTTAATTTTTAATGAAATTATTTAGTGTGTTTTGTAAAATGCAAGTCTTTTGAATACAATGTATGTGTTCGTATAACTGACTTAAGAATTTGTTTTCTTCCAGAATTCTGTAGCAAAGCCAATGCTTCAGAAATCAGCTAAAGCTACTGAAGAGACCTCTACAGGATCTCCCAAAATAAATGAGAAAAAAAGTCCATATGGACTGTGGGTACCTGTCTACGAAAAGAAAACTGATTTATAAGGTTGGCTGAAATGCACTTTGTTGCAAGTTTTTTTCCAAGCATTATTCCATCTCTGAGAGTCATTTATGGTTGTTGCAATTACAGTGATACAGTAATATGTAAATCCTTAATATTTAAATATTAACATTTGAGATTTCTCTTGTAGATAAGAGATAACACACATGGACCAGAGGATTCGTACAGGTGGGAGTTTTGTACATAATACTTGTAAATGTTTTGTATAATACCAATGTAATGTAAAAGTGAAATTTGTAAGAGAAACAGTAATTGAACTGTTTATATTTGTTAATAAATTTTTTGTTTTTTTAATTATTTGTGTCACTTTGTTTTGTATGTATATATTACATAACGAGTGTTTATTTAAAGAAGCGTAACGTGTCTTTTGTTTAAAGCCTTGCTAATCCCAAATCCAAATCCATGGACTGACAGCATAGGGTTCACTGACCCTTACCTGGTGTTTGTGAGAAATGTTGAATCTGTCTCCACCCTAGACCTGAATTTGAACCTGAAGCTTAATACTACCAGTTGATATGGGTCTTCATTAAAATTTGAGAAGTTAGGCCTAATATTTATGGAATTTTGGCACAGTGTTGTGCTGGACAAGTTAAAATGCAGTCTTTAGGGCAGGAAACTCAGCAGGAGAGGGAGAAGTGGAAAT